AGATATGTGGCAAGAAGTGAGTACGGGGAAGCCTCAATAATGAAGCACAGACAGAAGAGTAACAGTATCATTATTTACATGAGCCATAAGTGCACATAAATAAATACGAAGATCATAAAATATAACTATCTGTACAACCACGTTTACTAAATAATAAGAGAAATTAAGGAGTGTGTGATCTGATCAACTTCGACTGAAGGCCAATCGTATTCGCCATGACTTGGTCGTGATTGCCGCTTTCCTACAAAAATCTGGGTTGACTTTTAAAGTTTTTAGAAAAATTCATCTGAATAAGACGAAAAATAAATGTAATAGAAAAATCTTCACTCAGAAAGGACTGAGCTTATATTTATGTGCTTGTTTGCTTTGGCGGTCAGCAGCAAAGGGCTAAATTACTGCGTGCGAGGTCCAGGTGTCATACAGCGGACTAGGCCCTGCCCGAGACCCGTCAATCCCTCGAGCACCTGTCAATAGGTACTAGACTCTAGGGAGACAAAGACAGGAAGTGACTCGTGTGCCAGCCGGTCATTAGTTTGGGAAAACAGACCGGATACAGTACCCTCAAAAATTGCGCTTGAAATAAAATGTATCAGAGCGTAAGAAGCAGTAATTGCTCACAAAAAAGCCAGAATTGGCAAGGAAATCGGCCGTACTTGGAATTCCCGATCAGCTCCGGCAATCGACGATGCCAGTTGTCCACATGCAGTCTTGAAACCAACTTTATCATCTTGAGGGGAGTAGATCGAGAATATGTGTCGACCTTCGTATCGCTGCCTGAACAATCTAGGGTCAAAGGTTTTCCAGTATGATGGTAAAAATATCCCGAAAAATTGTTAAAGTAAGAAAATAAAAGGTAATCAATGGAACTAGCCTTGAGTTTATGTTCTTCAAAAAGTGTGATCCACATGAAAGGCCGTTCACAATGTTGCATGCACCGGGAAACGGTAACAGACAGAGAAATGAACCATAATTGGCACATAAAATTATGCAATTTTGTGATAATACATGATTTATTTGAACTTTTGGCGATGTTCGGCTTGGGGGGAGCATTTTGCACTTTCGCCTATTCTGTTTGTTAATTAACATGGTGCCCTTTGTGACCTGAAAACTCTTTCAAAACTACGACATGGTATATATGAGTCACTATAGTTACAGAAGTTTACTGCGCTTCACAAGATGGCCCGATCTGGCTTCGCTAAGCACCCCTTGGTGCACCCACCAAGCCGAACTCAAAGTTTTTGCTAATTTACTTAGGTGATAATTTTCGCCGTATCGTAAAATATGTATGAGTAAGTACGAAGGACAAAGAACCCACCCGCTACAGAGACGAATGTGTCGATAAGAGCAGTGAGAGGTGGTCCGAGACGTTCGCCTGTATCCATGCACCTACCGCCAAGTATCGCCTTAAATGCTTCTTCCACAGCAAGATGTGGACAACAAGGGCCAGATAAGTGGTAGATAAGGGCTCTCAAAATGAGAGGTTCTCAAGAGCTTCCAACAGTGAAACGAAATTGGAAAATGCTCGAGCTAACCAAACCTCCTTGCAGTTGATTTTGAGCACTGTGCGAGCTAAAGACGTATAAAGTTGGTAGCTGGATGAAGGTCGGAAGATGTAAGGAGACGTGAGATGCTCACTCCAACCAAGATAATTCCAGAGAGGAGACGTGCACAATGGGCGGGCCCGAGCCTAGGAGATTGTTCCTCAGATCCCTTGTTTTACGTTACGAATCGATTCGCGAAGTAGTCCCATGGTATCTTGGGATAGATAGATGGAATCTCCTTGGTTAGGAACATGTTCTGCATTTTCAAAAAGTACTTCACACTCAGACCCATTAGGCCTAGTTAAAACAATTCCTTCTTTTTAAAAATATCCCCGCTGTCCGAGCACTGTGAGAGTCAGTTCCTGCCGTAAGCTTCGCCCCCTTCGTTGCACGTCCCGCCCATCGTGGACGCGTTGCCCTCGTTTCATCTGCCAGCCGGTTACTGAACTTATACGTTCTCTGTTTCTGGGCCATGGAAGATTTTTACGTTTACATTTAAGTTTCCGTTTTACATTTTAGTCTTTGCACCCATTGCAGTGCACGCTCCGCCCACGGTGGGTGGGCGTAGCTTAGCTTATGTAGCCCGAACCTACTCGCACCAATGATGGCCTACTGGCCCCATGGCCTACTCGCACCAAACTAACCTGGTCCTTAAAAGAAATTTTACCTAGGTCCCGACTTCCTTACTGACGGTCACAGGCATACAGAGAACACTGTTTTGAATAGTACTAGTAGTGACCTTCTAACTTCTGTCTTCAGGGGAGCAGCTGTAAGCTGTTTCGTGGCAGCCTAGAGCCAAATTAGGGGAAGTTGCTCGTCGTATTGTTAGTTGGATGTGGGCCCTCCTAATGTCCACATTCTAGTGCAAGTCAGGTGCACTCCTTTTGTGGAAATTTGGACCTGACAATCACCTTCTTGGCGACATAACGCTAGTGTTGGCTAACTTCTCGTGATTTTCTCCCAGACAGGGGTTTGAGAAAAACCGCGGTGTTCATCAACTTCTTGCGACTTTTTCCCTGACAAAGGTTCTGGAAGAAACCAAGCAAGACACGTATAGCAGTGTAAAGAGCGGAAGTGAAAACCTAGGCAACTTCGTAAAATAACCTTGGCAAAGGGCATGGTCATTAATCACCAAACAAGCAAAAACCGTTCGGTGTTGGCCAAACTCTTTGATCACCTGTTCCGCCTTCTTTGAAAACCTCGGAAATATTTTTGGTTCGGTACGGTCTTTTAATGACTCACGACGAATATTAACAACGGAATTACAATGGAAATAGACACTAGCAGACGCTTATAGTACGAAAAAAATGGTGGCGATTTCTGTGAAGAAAACTGTCCACTATTACACCACTGACATTTAGCCCTTATTACAACCCCATCAAGTTGAAAAACGTTTTTTTAGCCTTGATCATTCATTTTTGGCGTCGGCGAAACTCGCGCTGGACTTTGATCGCTAAATCAAAATCTGCCGTTTCTTCTATGTGCCTGGACTCAAGGATAAGTGACATATTCGTGATCAGTGCTTTGTATAACCACTGCGGGTGATACTTCAGCGGCTAAATTTGTGGCGTTTCGAGTTCGTAGAGGAGCTCCGACGAGTGTGTGGGTACAAGCTTATAAGGTTCTTGAAGGCACACTCCACACTGATCGTAAGGGCGGAATCAGGCTATCCATTGTGTCTCTCTCGTGGGCGCTCCCTTATATGTAACGCCTTGAAAAAGACATACAGTACAGAAGCTCCAAAAGGGCATTAGGGCGTAGAGTCCTCCGATATGCAAGACAATATTGGTGTCCGAAAGAATATTTAACCGCTAGAAACATTTTTCTCAAAGGCAAGGCGTGACCCACCCCCCGCAGCTCTCCCCGCGCGACCAATACCGCTCTCCGCACCCCTCTGGCTGATGAACGCACCACGTGCCCTGATCCCAACTAACCGGATAAAAGTGAGCGATGGTCAGTTCAACGAACCTTTCTTGCGACGGGAGACCCCATGGAGTACGCTATGACATCAACCCGTCGCATCGTAAATTCCGCTACAGCCTGAATAAACCATCGGACCTGAAATAGCGAAGATTGGTATCGCTCGTTGACAGACTGAATCACAACTACATTGCTTAGTCTTTGAACAAAGAATAGCACACAGTGTGATGTGTGAAGAGGCTTCTTTGTGCGGTGTCAACTAGTCGTGCGAGACAACTGACAGCCAAATTACGAGAAGGTCAGAATGCCTTAGTTACTTCTTGGTAGCCGAAAAAGTGCAGTAATCTCAGAAACTGACGAGCAGACTACATACTTGGAAGAAGAACGTCTACGAATTCGTCGAGCGCAGGGGCTTGGCCGCTTCAATCGCGCTAATTGCGTCCACGTAGGAGACCGGGTCGTGAAAAGCACTCCAAACGGCTGTAACTGATCAAAAACAATTAGCTCTACCTGCTTTATATAATCACACTTCATGTCGACAAGAGGAGCTGGCGTTTTCCCACCATCGCCATATGTGGTACCGTAGACTTCCGCGTTACTCCACCCCTGACTGAAATTCGACGATAGGTGAGAAGTCTTCAGAAAAAAAATCCACGTCAGATAATCCTACCTTTAGAAGGTGTTGCCTTTGTCCTTCGAATGTTGCTGCAGTGTTTGTGATTCCATGGACAAGTATGACCGGCTGTTGTCTGAAGGATCACTTCGATCCGCAAAATTCAACGTAAATGGTGATATTAACGACCTAGTAGCCGCATCGCCAATACATCTACACAAACATGGGCGGCCACCGCACACCCATTTCAGAGGAGATGGGGTGGGGCGTGGCGCCCCATATTAATTCGAAAGGCGCATGAAGCGCTTTTGGTGAGTCTTTGTTATGAGGCATTTGTAATCACATCTTTGTCCAATAAAAGACATAATGAGAGTTGCCTCATCTGGAAATATGCGGGGATAGGCGTGCTCTATGCCATGCTCAGTTGAAGTAAGCAGATCACGCTCCATCTCCGGGATATTTCGGGATATAGACTGTAACTTCTCTATTTCGATTCACAGAAGGTTGAACGTGGACGCATGACCGTACTTAGTTAGTTAGTTACCTAGATAACAGTGCTTCCTGAATAGCCTACAGAATTTCAGAGTGAAGTGCCACATAAGCACTGAAGAACAACTACACCCTGGGTTTCAAGAAGGGAAAGTGACTGGAATACCCGCCTTGAGTCATGTGATGACTCTTACACACGGGGAATGAAAAACTCCTGCTCATAACCTTGGGCTGTGCCACAACTGCAAGCTTTTTTTTCAATGTGTACCTTTGTTCTTTTTCTTTTGTCTTTCCACCATATCGTCTCACCTTGCTTGTCAGACTGTGAACTCCCTGCCACAACCACACCTTGTCAGGTTGCAGCTGTCAAGCTTGCCAAAACGGTGTTAGCATTATTGAAACGTCATTCTCCATTTTTTGCCCACATCTTGACCAGTCATTTTGACAAGTTTGACACGGGTTTGGGGGGGGAGGTGCTTGCGTGTGATAGCATACTTGACAAGCGCTTACAAGTATGTTCCCTCAAGCTCAATAGCGCTGAAAAACTCACTGGGCGCATGCCGAGCGATCCTCGCCTTGAGGGTTTTCAATGATCAGCGCCTTTTATCACTGGGCTCTCAACGGCAGTCAAATGTTACCTCGGCGCTGTTTATCGACAAGGGGGGGGGCATTTTGTACTACCAATGCTTCCCTTGTTCCGGTTTCCGAATCTCACTCTAGTGAAACTTGTGAACACTTGTGAAGCTGGACCAAGATCGTCTAGCCACCACCCTAAGACGTGTCAACTCGAGAAAAGGCTACCTAGAAGGGTCGGCACATGGAGAAGGCCCCCCGCTCCGTCGATAAACTGCGCCCATTACCTCTTTAACTTATATTCGCCACCAGTAACAACAGCGAAGGGAGTCATGATAAGTTCAACTCGTATTTGCATTCAAACAAACCTGTTGTCCCAAAAATGTAACAGGGGGGGGGGGCAAAAAAAGTCACTCTCGCCGGAGCCACAATATCAACGAAGTTTTCGGAGCCTCAGACAGGGAGTGGATAATAGTAGCCAGAGTAGAAATACCGCAAAGATCTTCCTTATACAGCTGGGCAACAGCTTGGCCGCCAATCGCCTTCATGTACGCCAAAATATGAAGTCATCTCCAGTCGCGGCCTGACTGGAGAACACCTTTGGAATTCACGTCGCCTCCAAACAGCTGCGAAACTTCTTGAATGAAGTCATCCACAGATAGCTACCTGGAGGTCAGTACTCTTGATCTGCAAGACCTCCCACATCGACCAGCTACGGCAACGTCGCTACGGTCTAGGACATCATCTTCACCGTATTCGCCGAGGCGCGAGTTGATGGTATGGACCGGGGTACCTGGAAAGGGGAAGACCGATATTTTCTTTGTAGACCCCGACTGAAGGTGAGCGCTGGCGGTTACATCAAGTAACTCGAGAAGAATATCCTCCCTACATGTGGTCGCCCGTACCTTCTTGGAGACCTTGTGCTGCTACAGGTTTGGGTGCCACCACATGGAATCAAAGGGTTTTGGAAAAACTCCCGCCTACTTCGAATGGAAGGGCGTTTCGTACCTGAAGAAGATGTAATATTGAAATATCCCCTGACCTGAATCCACTGCAATTACCGTAGTTCGGCGAGTTCAATAGGGTGGTCTACGGTGGCGGAGAAATCAACGATCTCGCTCAACTCCGGTACCCACTCACTTTCGCGCGGCCGAATCTCTCGATGGCGCTCCTCCAGAAGGCTGTGGCGGAGTATCATTATAGTATTTAATGTGCTCTTTAATATGGTAGTAAAAATGTCCGATAAAAATTTAATAAAGTGTAACTTATAGCGCCTTGAAAGTCATGGAGGCAAAATGACTTTTTTTTTTTGGCCCCCCTGTATACTTGGCTCTGAACTGAGGTTTTTGAGTTTTGGGATTGTTCAAACAACTCTAGTCAGTCTTTGCAGCGCTCCTGGATTGCCAGCAGTTTTTTAGCGCGAGTCTGTTGTGCAGAGGCTATCCTCTGGCTCTTACACCCCCTCTCGCCCACCCCCCCCCAACCCACTCCCTTCTGCGGCGTGGTCGCTGTGACCACACTGAGCACTGCACTTTATTGGGCATGTTGCCCACATTTCCGTTGCGGGAGTTAGTGGAGCGAAGATGCTACAGCGGAGGTGTTCTGCTCAATTAGGCAGTCAGTGCATGAAGGCATGGAGCACAGTGGCGTTCCAGCAGAATGTGAAGCGCAGACACGTCATGTCATGAGCAGACGGATAACTGGTCGTGCAGCGTGATGCGTGTGACGTGCTTTGACTGTAGGCGGAATAGTAGAAGAACGTCCAGCAATCACAATTTTGCAATCTACTGCCATGTACCACCAGAGAGGAAAAGTGCAAGCTTTTTATCTGGGCAACTCGCCCATGAATTAACCTTGTAGGTGAGTATAAACAGTGTCTGTAGAAAATTTGGAAAATATCGTTTTTTTTTCCTGAAAATGTGGGACAACCGTCTGCGCTCCACACCATCACATTATCAAACTGCAAAAAGGAAATCCTAAAGCGCTAGTTTGGATTTTACGCTGCTTCTTATCGTCATTTCTATTGTATTGCAAATAAAATGAAACCGATAACCGACGATGTTCTTGATCCAGGCTGGTGTTTTCCACCTCCAAAGCTGCCAAATCCTCCAAGGTCGCGGCGGGCCATTCGATCAGCGAAGTTCTGGAAATTTCGTACCACAGAATGAAAAATCATATGAGCGGCAGCATATGAATTAATGTAATGGATAATAAAGAGGAGGAAACCAGTAACTTCACATCCCTATATCCCTCAAAACTAACTTTTCTTAGCACTTCTCAGATACCTGATTATTTTGAGTAATTTCTTGGAATGCAGCGTCGATCAACTGTTTTCTAATGCGCCATGCTCCCTATCTGGACCGTGGAAGCGACCGTTTGGAATGAGCGGCACCCTGACTAACCTAGCCTGAAAGGGCATCAAAAATCCAGCTACCATTGGCCTCTGATGCGGACTTCTCTCAAAGGCACAACTCACGACAATTTGGTACTTTTTCAAAGACTGTAGCAGGGGTGCTGTATTTTTTATTGATTATTTAATTATTTGGTGCACTCGTTGGTACGCCTTTACAAATCTTCGGTACTCGTAAGCGCGGCATAAAGATAAACCAAACGAATCTTAAACAAACTGTCTAGAAAGCATAAAGAAAGCGAAAGTGGGGAAAAAGAAGCAAAAGCGATGGCAAAAACCTGCGTCAAAGCCTTTGTTCTGCTCGGCATTGGACGAACATTTTTGGACGAGTTTCCCGTTGGCATCATGTCAACGACCGCTTTGATAGATGCAGCTGCACAGACGTATTCATATATCCATGTCTTCGAATCGAGTGCACTTCATGAATGAGGCAGTACGAGTATCAAGACGTGATTCGGCCTTTTGTGGGTGGGCGGTCGCATGGGCATCTAGGTCGGCATATTGCCTCTTGATTAGGCGCGACAATGGTGCGTTTGGTTGGAAAACGCGCTAAGGAGCGCCTGCTTAGGGGCACAATATTTACTGGTGCTAGGTGTATCGACCCTGTACGCCTTGTCGATCTATAGCGACGCTTGCCTTTGACCATATGGCCATATCAGCGAGTCTGGATGTTTGTTGAATACTATTTCGCTATTTACCCTTTGTGAAGCCTAAGTTTCGAATGGGACCTTATGTCTTTTGATTGTTGTGGATGGAGACTTGTCTCGAGGGGAAGCCTGACTAACCAAAAACGCGTCTGCCATCTCATAAAAGTTCAGACAACATCAAGCTCCAACAGGACGTACTGAAGATCAAGTCATCCTGTTAAGCACCTTTGCAGTGTAAGCCACCTTTCACAGGCTTCTACGCCTTCAAACAAAAGCCGAATGCAAAGCTCAACGTTTGAAGCGACATCATAGAAATTTTCTTAGAGATATCAGAAACCAAGTTCAGGACCGGGAATGTCACTGTCAATCCTCCTCCCCCCCCCTGATCTTCTAACCAAAAATCAATAGCTAGTATATCATAATGATATATCAAAGTGAACTAGTCACATCAACACGATTTCAGTTCTGTGCTCCGATGTGGGGGGAAAGTGCGCTAAGTGGTTTTGAATTATCAGTCTATCAGCGAAATTAGCATGCGTACCGACCGCGAGGTGAAAGCAAATTAGCCTTGATAGAAGAAAATTCGGCCTGGGAGGGGCATCTGTCCACGCTTCTACAGGGCAATGTTACAAATTATTTGACGTACCACGCTGACACATTAATGATGGTTTTCGTAAAAAGATAAGCGTTTTGTTATGAAACTTCACAATTATATCTAGCATGAACTGGGAAGGCCTAGTCCTACCAGGGCTGGGTAGGGTAGGTGACAGGGCACATCATTAGTTGGGGATTTTGGCCGGGTAAGTACAACCGCCATTCCCCCCCCCCTCAGCAACTCAATACGACCCCCCCCCCTGTTGGGGAATCCCTACGATGTTGTGCCTTGATTGGTAAACCAAATGCTCAAGGGAGAAGCTTTGTTCACCCAGCTCGGAGTCCTTATTCGTATCATACCACCTTTCCCAGGTAATTTTGTTTGTTTTCAGTAGGGTATTCTAGTAGCGTTGTGCGGAATAATTTTCTCATCGTTACACGAGCTCTCTTTGTTCAATGACTAGTCTGGGATTCTAACATGCCCGTTGAACAGTTTCATTCGTTTCTTGTCGTGCCTTGAAGGCACTTTCCGCAATAAAGTAAGGCTATGACCTCTCACCCCCCCCCCCTCAGTGTCAGACGATCCGGAAGGCGATTGAAGAGGCTGCACTATCTTCAAAAAGGCAAAATTGGTCATAACTCAGCTGGAAGCTAAGCATTTAGGCCCATGGGCAGTCCTTAGGACCCATGCCGACCCCACCGGCTGCTAGCTACTAGCTAGTAGCCACTATGCTATCTCTCTCCATTCCGAATGGTGAGAGTGAGGTGATAAGATAAAAGAGCTGATATCTTTATGATAACGACGAGTGGAAATTCGTACAAACATGCGTTTTCTTCATTGCATGCACGTACGAATTGGGGTCGGCATGGAGTCCTATTCAGGGCATTTCGGACCTTCCTGTTGCTTTTCTCCGCTAACCGGTTACCTAGCACTTTTTCACTCCTATGTAAGCTCGTTTACCCGCAATCTGTGGTCGCGTGCTTTGCCTTCAATTTAATAGCCATAGAGGCACCGTTCGCGAATGGAAGCGTAGGTAATATTTTCGAATTATGGAAAAGCAAATGCAAACAGACTCGTCCATGGACACAAAACGCAATAGATGATACGCCTCTAATACGGCCCCTATTGCCTCAAGTAATTGTGTGACCAGGTGAAACGACCGCATGCCAGGACAGCTGATTACGACCGAAACGATAATGTTAGTATAGTTCAATGCTAGTCTTCCGGTAGCATCGTTTTCCGCTGTTAAGCAGGCTTCAAAAGCGGAAGAGGGATGTCATTGGAGCAATCTTGTCTGGCGCTGTTACCTTACAACTTTCGCCGCGCCAGATTATATCTAGTATTGCTTGAGACGCGTGCTATACTGCGTCCGCCATTCTAGGACCACTTCTTCTCAAACCGACACCGCAAAAATCCCAAAATGTCTTTTACTCGTTCATGGCTTCCGTTCAAATTTGGCTACGTTCCCTATGATCCCTGTTCTGACTTTTTCTTACTTAACTAGACTGAGAAGGTGAACTGCGATTCATCATGGGAAAAACTGGGAAAACAAGGGAGAACTAGATGTACATAAGTGACAATAGTAGACGAACGAGCCGGTTTCCACAACATTGATCTCATGAATCTGTAAGTAGTGATCAATGGCACTCGTTTAAAGCAATAGTCAATGTAAATGAGCATTTCTCAGACTTTGTCTCTAGTACGAC